TATTTAACAATTAGACCTCGAGGTCGAGTGGACTACGAGCTAATAGCCCATGAGGCCGAGTCCGCGAGGCCGAATGGGCTATTAGCTCGTAGTCCACGAGGCCGAGAGGTCTAATTGTTTTAGTATAAACATACTAATCGGTCAAATAATGAAAACAAATTGAAATATCCTTAAAATAATTTATAATTTATTTATTTTGATTTTCCCGCGAGTGGTCTATCACAAATTAGACCATTAGTAGAGTAGCCAATCACAGCGCAGTATGAGTGATAGACCATTAGTATGTTTATACTAATTAGATTTAGCAGTATAGAAATTATGCTTAAGTATTTATCAAGACATAACATGTACATTTATAAATCACACAATCATTTATATATAATTTACATTTATTATATCATTTAGTTTCAATATAAAATTAGTTTCAAAATATAAACAATAAACAAACAAACCTGCTGTTGAAGTACTTTAACCTACAAACAAAAAAAGATGATTTGAATCAGAATTCATACCCATTAAAACAAGAGGTTTGTTATAGAAACAAACAAAAGTCTAATTAGTCTTATAATAGTATCCATAATACACAAGCAATTACCTCTTGTGCAAGAGTGACAGGAGAGAGCTTCTTTGCTTCTTTCTCATCCAATGAGGCATCCTTTTAAAATGGATGAATATTAATAAATACTCATTAATAAAAACTCATCTAATGCCTAGAAAATTGTTAGTAAATCTAAAACTAAATAAAAGCAAGCAAAGGAATGTAATTCTAAGTTTATACATCAGTTCATAGTGACTCCATTTTGTATAGCAAAGCATGATGGCAGTTTTAGTCCTTATACTTTTTTGTAGCCACTAAAAATTCTACCTAAAAGCCATATTTTTTGTGTTTTCTTTGTAAAAATGGCAAAACTACTTCCATCTATTTTTGCAAGGAAGCAAAACCTGCATGTAAGGACTGTTTTATTGATCACGAAAATGGAAGATGACAACAACTCCCACATTTTGTTGTGCAAAATGACATCGCTGCACATTGTGTCCTAGTGTTAGTTGGTGCAACATAAGCAAATACTCATGTCTATTTTTTACTACTTTCACCTTTATTTGTTCAAGTTCTTCAGCAAGTTCTCTCATTTCATGTTGTAGTCTTTGATATTTTTGATCTGGTCTTTCCTTTTCTTTGCTCTCCCCAAGGATTTCATACTCTGTTTTTGCGCAGTATCCTTTTCTGTGTTTCATTCCAATATTATCAGAAAAATCTGAAAATAAGAAAAGTTGATCATTAAAATAAACAACRATATAAAATTACTTATAAGTGATATACTTTTAATTGAAATAGTTCTAAATCCCTGGTGCAAATCCTGGCTAGGATGCTATTAGGATCCTAACTACTGAGTTTTTCTACCTGTTACTGACTTAATGCAAAACAGAATTTCTATCATGCTGACTCAATACAATCTAATGCAAAAATATGTGTAACACTGTCTACAGTTGTGTTATAACATGTATAACCTCCCTTTTTGCAATGTTTTTTGTCAATAAATTGCTACAAAATTTCCAAAGATGAACAAGGAACATGGAGAAAGAGGCTAAGATGTTTCATTTATTTTGCAGAATATTGTAGCTAATAAATTAGCATTAACATTAACGACTGGCATTAAGTATTATCAATACAAGTGTTCCAGGTACTTAAGAAATTTATGCACTGAAATTGCATTGTATAGACCTAATCAGCTTCAACTCAATTCAAACCACCTGGGAGTAAGTTTCATTGTCTGTTTTGTATTTTAATTTCAAAGTTGAATTCTTAGAAACAAAACTTATTTTTCCCACAGGATTTGAATTGGGTAGCAATGTACATAGCAACGCCGTTAGCTGATTAGGTCTATTCTACAGTATTGTGTCATTCTTGAATGCATTGTATTTTTAATCTATTGCTGTGTGGATTGATACAATGCAATATTCAAGCGTATAAGAAGAGGAGGGAAAATTTCATGCATAGATTTGGAAAATAACCATACCTGATTCATTGGAGTCAAGATATCTTCCTTTAAAACTATCATAAGCCTTCCTGGAATCTATTTTAAGGACTTCTACATTTTCATCCATATTATCATCATTCTGAAATGTGAAAAAAAAATTAATTTACTTGAGATGTTTTTTAATGTTCAGAGTTCATAACTGAATTGAAATACAATAATTAAAAAAAAAACAGAAAAAAAAACACAGAAAAGCATCATCCCCAGTTGCAATTATAATAGGTGGGCATTAATGTTTATATTTGAGTTTTTAAATTTGCATAAAAATCAGAAAATTGCAAGATTTTCTTTAAAAAATGTCCATGGCGGGTATGTCAACCAGTGAATATCCGAAAACAAACAAACAAACAAACAAAAAAAAACAACGAACATAACACTTACAACACTGTCCTGCTATCAAAACGAAATTATTTCTAAAATGCAATAAAAATTAGGTAATAAATTATTTTTTTGACTTATGAGGATAACTTGTATTCGATGTTTTCAATAGAAGGCGAAAAACGATAACAGTTCATTCATATTTGAGAATTTCTGAGCAAATTTCATACATTTATAAACTGAAATCATTTCAATTTTTCGCTGGCAATTTATTTACTTCGTGGGAAAAACATGTAAGGTTTTGTAAATCTTACKGATTCGAGTCCATTTTGATTTGAGTTATCCACATCTGGAGTCTCGAAAACATCAGGTTGGTTGTCCTTTAAARCATAAAGTAAAACAGTCATAAGCTGAAATAATGTGAAAAGCATCAAATAATCGAGAAAAAGTTCATAATRTACAGTTTAGAGACACTATAATCTTACTATTCCCGGGAGGTTGGCATATTTACTTCTGGCCGCCATATTGGATCAAGGAAGGACTCGTTCTAGGCTCCTCTATCAAACATTTTAGTGAGGGTAGGGGGGGTAGGGGTAGTCTCCTTTTCGAAGCCCTGTCAGGAGCCCATTACTGGGCTCCTGGCCCTGTAAAATTTTCCTTCCGTAATGATTTCTTGCCCAGGAATCTGAATACAGCACCTCCCTCCCCTCCCCTCATCCCCCTCCCTAATCAGTAATGTTGCCTTAACCCCACGGCGCGCGTGTATTAGCTCTGTATAAGTCTGTATATWACTTCCGGCCTGGTCAAATTTCAGGTATTTTAATAATAGACAGAGAAAGTATGCGGAAGCTTCATTTAGCAGATATTCAGCAAACTAAATGCTTTTAAATCAAAGATGCTTTCTTTTACAAATTCAAGTTGTCAGACGTGTTCGAAACCGGAATTATAAATGACACACACCCTGTCGCTATAGCGCCCTGCCCACAAAGAGCAAAGCGATAACTAACTCTCACTTRGCAATGTCCCGGATGAATGGACGCTTTATGATTGGTTTTTAGTTTAGGATAAATTGTTCAAAGACACGTGATGTGCCTTCGAAAGGTTGCCAGCTCCCAGTGTTTGTAGTGGAAGGCGTCGAAAGCATCCAAACTTTATACAAAATTCAGAATGAGCGATACTACTAGTAAGAGAGATGAGTTAATTCAACTGGCCAAGTTGGCCGAGCACTCTGAACGGTACGATGACATGGTAGACGCCATGAAAGAAGTTACCAAGATGGATTGTCCGTTAGGGGAAGAGGATCGTAATCTTTTATCGGTCGCGTACAAGAACGTGGTCGGAGCTCGTCGCTCAGCTTGGCGAATTATTTCAAGTCTAGAACAGAAACACAAAGACAAAGGCGAGGATTCTACAATGGCCGGGAAATATCGCGAAAAAATCGAAGCAGAGCTTGACGAAAAATGTGAGGAAATTTTGGATCTTCTTGATAACCATGTCGAAGCGGAGGATACAGAAGCAAAGGTTTTCTATTTGAAAATGAAAGGCGACTATTACCGATATTTAGTAGAAGTTGCTCGTCCCGACATGAGAGAAGATAAAGAAGCGAAATCAGAAAAGGCATATACCGAGGCTTCAGAAGAAGGTCAAAAGAAGCTGCCACCTACTCATCCGATTCGTCTTGGATTGGCCYTGAATTTCTCGGTATTTTATTACGAGATTAAGAATCAGCCTGATAAAGCTTGTGAGCTAGCGAAAAAGGCATTCGATGATGCTATTGCAGAGCTTGATCAATTGAAAGAAGAATCGTACAAAGACAGTACATTGATAATGCAGTTGTTGAGAGATAATCTTACACTGTGGACATCTGAGCAGGAGCAAGATAACCAAGAGCCCGAATCATGAAGGACATATCAAACGTTTCAAASTAGGCAATTATGTGAATTTCGAAAKTCCAAATCTGTMCAATTACAGTAATGCTATCAAGAATATTTTTCGTTAATTTTCAGGTGAACTAAACTTATGACACGCACAGGAGACTTGAAAATTGACACTTTGCGAAATTGTTCATAGTGAAACGGCGTTCTTTACTCGGCATCCTACTCAATCCTAAATCTTTTCCAGTCATAAAATCAGCATTTTGGCAACACATTTTGCTTAAAATGATACCGCCATATATACATGTTTGTGTGTATATAAATATGTGTATTTAAAATTGATAAATAAGCTTTTTCTTGCACTGTAGATTATTCAGCAGTTGTACGTATTACCATAAATTTCTCTTTTCAATAAAGGTATGTAAAAGAAAAGAATTCAGTTTGTTTGTTCTGGTCGGTTTACATATCATCCAATTAGCCTTAAATGGGCATGYTCTTTGTAAAGSTTGATGTTATTAGGCCTGCCTTAATAAATACTGGATTTCAATGGAACAGAGACTTGTAATGCTTGAGGATTTGATGTTTTCTTTATCTTTCAATTCGGGAAAGAACAGAGAACAGTGAGTTTCTGTTGACTTACGAAACCTGAATGTCAAGTGGTTAGGCAACAATCTACCTTTTTGCCTGTGCAAAACTATTCAATCATTAGCCAAGATGGAATTACAAAGTTTTATCGTGTACGATTTCGTAACATTACAAATAGTTGAAAATAACTTMAACTATGAGTGACTTCATCATAGTTTCATATACTATTACTTGATTTATAAATCTGCAAAAGTAAAGAGGCAATCTTGTTTGTTTTAGCCAACAATAACAAAAAGTAAGAACAGCTTTTGTCTGCTGTATGAAAACGAGATAACCTTTGTTGTATTTTTGTGGGTTTAAATTAATCCCTATCTCAGATTCTTCTTGGATCATTATTTTATGATCATTACTTTTTTCATTGTCATTACTAGTAATCAAATTCAAAAATCATTCTATCGTAAGTAATAGAWGGTTTTTACATGGATAAATCAACACTAATAATAAGTTATTCTAAAATGCCTTATCTCTGAATCAGAGGATGTGAAAACGTAACTATGAAATGAGGTCACTTCCCCTTGCATTATCTCCATCTGTTAAAAGGCTTCTTTCTTTGAATAAACTTAAGTGATTCTAGTGTGGAAAATAAATAAAGTCATCAAGGAATAACAAAATTCCATTTTAACTGTCATGATTTTGAATTGATCTTAGATATAATAAAGATGGACAATTTATTAAATTTAGTATTCCAAGAGGCCCCCCAAAGGTGAGGATTAATGGATTCTATAGTCATTTCTTGTAAATGATTCTTCTGAAGCAAATATAGTTTTTGATATCCACCTAAAAGTATCTATGTAATGCCCAATGTGTTAATCTAGCATATATGCTGGACACTTTTGAGTCCAGCCATCTATGATATCTTTTCTATTGATATCAAAATGACAAAAATCACCTGTGATAATAACAAATTTATGCTTCCTCTATCTCAACATGATAATCTAAGTGACACTTATGCCATRGATCTCCATTTTAAATAGACTCAACTGAAAATATTGGATTAAGAACTGCTAAGGTGTATGTATTAGTCTAAATACTTATTTGTGGTATGTTTTTTACCACACTCTAAGTATAACTGTCAAATATACACAAGAAAGCTGAATAAATTAYTAGCCACCACAAAGGATATGCTTTGGTCTGGTGCCCTTTAGATCACCCCATACATTTTAATTGGCTACTTAGCCTTAGGCTATTGGTGACATTCTGAATTTAGAATTTGTATGTGTAGGTCACTTGTTTTATGTTCATTTTGTATAACCAGCACTTGAAGATGAATGAACTTTATTGAGTCTTGTGAGCCCTACTGTGTAAGGCACTCCTGGAGGTCTACTAAAATGGAATTGTTAATTTTTATGTTCATCTTGCCTTGAGAGGGCAAACAGCATATTAAATGAAACATTCAAGTAACGGAATCATTTTTTATCAAGTGTCGAGTGTTTTGCCTTTTCAATAGATCCTTTTGTTTCACATTTTAGTAATTAATGTGACTTACATTATAACGATAAAATCCTCCAAAATATCCAATATTTAGATAAACTAAACTTATGATTTTCTTAACTATTTCTTTGMAAAATACTTCAACAGTCCAGAAGCAGATGAATTCTTCTGATTCTTCCTGCTTTCATATAATTGTTTTTGTTCAAGGTTCCATTGTTGGATCAATTCTTTTTGCAATTCAACTGGAAGTGAKTTAAAAATGTCTTTATCAACTGTACTTGGTATTTGTATATTATCAGTACTTTTGTCGGCCCCAAAMTGTGMAGGTGTAGGGCTTGCCTTTTCTGATAGGCTTTTAGCATTGCACTGTTGGGTGTCCATATTAACAGGTTTTTCCAGTTTTTCCTTTATGGCTTCTTGTTTTCCCAATCTTTCTGTTTTAATTGAAGTTTCTTTGTTATTAGGTTCCTCAAATGTTCTGTCATTTCCTGCAAGAGTAGACTGTGAACATCCTGAAGCATTATCCTTGCAGTTTAGGAAAAAGTTGCTCAAGCCTGCTTTGCCTTTATTGGTTGTTTTTTGAAATTTTGTCAGACATACATTCAGTAACTTGATATTAAAAGGCTGCTTAATATCTACCAATTTCTTGAAAAGCTCCAAYGTCAYRCTGAGAAGGATTTCAGTCTTTTTCACCTTKTTAAGTCCAGAAGAGCTAAATTTTGTTGGTATGGGGCACTGGCGGCTTTCTTTTCTGTCGCCTGCTAGTTCACCAATACCTCTTCTGATTGTCAAACGTACAGTTTGCGGAAAGCCAAGATCACTTKTCAGTCTTGACACAAGTTTGTCATTGAGTCCTTTGAGCTTTGCAGTCACATCACTAAGAGTAAAGCACTCATGATACGTATCTTCTTCACTGATGGACTTTGGACTGCCTGATGGAATAACATCTGCATCATCAATTCCATAACTTAATCTCTTCATATTTAAAGCYGAAGGTCCATCTCCAAATTCTGCTTGGATTGCTWCTAAAGAACAGGATTGTAGCTCAAGCACTGAAGTTATTCCAATTGACTGTAATCTTTTGGCTGAACTACTTCCAACTCCTGGAAATGAGAAAGAAAGTTTTTACCATATAAAAGGAGAAAAAGCAAGAATAGAGAATTAGAACTGTTCACTAGTTATCTACAGAAAGAAATACAAGAAAAACTAACCAYATTTTTTCAGGGTTTGTAAGTGGTTCTTATAATAAGTACAAATTACTGCAAAATCAGGCTAAGGTAGTTCTTACTGGCTCTTAACTTATTTACTAAGAAAAAAAACAACAATATGTAGTGTCTTTATGACATATCATAAATCTCATTAATGATTGATGAACTAATATCATTACCGTTATTGTTACCAAACCACTTCGCACCCAGTGGTGCATAAGGYATCAACTAATATCATATCTACATAAAACATACTCAATTCTGATTGGCTGAAGAACTGTRAATCTTTTCYTAATTYGTGCAATTAATYAATACCACACATATTTTTTATTTATTTCATTCTTTTTTAAACAGTGGTATTTCTTCTACTAATAGTTCAATAAGGGAATGATTTTACCAAATCAGTCAAAATATTAGTAGCTGACATCATGTAATAAATCAAGTTTTCAACACCTCATTATTTATTTTTGTTTTTATTAAAGGATCTAAAGAAATATCATTCAAATTTACCTGGAATTTTTCTTGCTGGAAGACTYTGCATAAAGGAGTTTATGTTTTCTGGAAACAAAACTGTTTGTTGGTTTGGTTTATGACATTCTCCAGCAAGCTTGGCAAGTATCTTGTTGTGTGCAACACCAGCACAGCAGGTCAAGCCAATTTGCTCAAAAATCTGTTCTCTGATTTCTGAAGCCAGTATTGARCCAATGGTAAGCCTCTGGTGGCATCYRCATGTGCATTTCTATAAATTATATGATGCATTGAGAACTAAAGATCAAGAAAGGGAGCTAGCTATACACCAATGCAAAATTATTGGCACAACAATATCATGAACAGCAAAKAACATTTTACAAGGAAAACTTTAAAATGGCCCTTCTTCCGCTCTTCCCCCACCTAAGGGCAGTGTGTCAWATTTAGCTATAGGAACAGTGTGGWTTAGGGGTTATCGTGTCCTCATTTTTTTCCTATATAGAGAAGAATTAAGTSCAGATGAGTAAACTGACATGACTGGTGATCAAGCTCATGCTTGACTGATAAAAGCATTTTTAGCTCTTATTTGTGAAGATGGAATTCTTACTATCATCAATTGACAGTCTTAGTTTATCTCTTTCTTGTAAAGTTTTGGGTAATCAAAGTTCATTGATATATTTCCAGACCTTATGAGGTGTAAAAAAAACACTTTTCATCACTTCTTTGGGTAGGGCTCCCGGCGGTGACTAGACATAGAAGACATTCCCTTACAGATTTCTTTAAATCGATGGTCAGCTGAACATACAATAAATAGGTGGTCTCTGTTCCAGATTTTTAAGCTGTTGTTTTCCCTTCTACACAATGTACTTTGACAAAGTTAAGGGAATTGAACTACTGTAAACATCTGTGGACGTAATCCATCCAACACACATCTTTTTCTAATAAAACATTCTAGCACGTCTGGAGTTCAACCCTCAAATTTGTCCCCAGGGAAGGAACTTTTTGTCTTTTTTAGTAAAAACACAAAGTTAAATTCCAACCCATGGYCCCACCCCTCCCCCTGGGGGCTGATAGACACTGACAGCTAATAAGTTAATACAATACCTCTGTCTGTTTGACGAAATCTTTGTCACCATACACAAAACCAACWGGGCTTAATGTATTATTGTCATTCTTGATATCCCCTATCCTTGCTTGAACAAGCTGAGTAACATCAAGAAAGTTCTCATCGAAACCGAGTCTCTCAACAWAAGGGGTAATACCCAGTAGAAGATCATTGACTCTTTTACTAAAATCTCGATATTTCGTCAAGTCCTCGCCATTTACRAGAACCAAATCGGGACACTTYTTCTTTGCATCCGATATYCTCATGAGTTTTGTTAGTCCCCGTTCACGAGCAACGTAGTTGCAGGTCACAACTATGTGCTTTTGCTGTATCCCAAGAGGCTTGTTCTGAAGATATGGGTTCAAAAGCATTTCAACTTGAGCATARAAACAATCAATGTCTATATGTATAATTGTTCTTTCATGTCCTTTTGACGAATGCAAAATGTCGTCTGAAGGCTTTAGATTTGCACTGATGTYGTCCTTTTGTTCTGGWGAASTTGTTCTTTGCTTTTTCTTGGCKGGTGAAGTCTGGTCCTGGCGGCCATTAGGACGTTTGACAATGGCTTGGTTTACGAAGCCGGATGTCCAATCTTCTTCACACTCATCCTCTGAATCKTCTTCTTTGTACCCTAATTTAAGACAGGGAAACGCTTGATTGTCCTCCATAGCTCGAAATCGCAATTTTCAATGATATTTTTACTGATCTTTCTCCATCAATACGTTTGTCACAGGCAACCCAGTATTTTGGCGGGAATATTTCCACAGGGAACCCATTGTCTGCACAGTGTGTTACAAGCACACAAAATTTACATCGCGCACAAAAAAAGCTTTGTTAAGAAATTATTGTGATRCAAAATGCTCATTTTTACTGTACAATTGTAGAGTTTCATAACTATAACACGTGAAGAAATCCTATTTAGGTATTTTTGGGTGCTTTTTAATGAGTTTTAATGATTTTCACAAAACAGACTCCTTAACCACCCAATTTTATGTGCGCAACACGAGTTTTGTGTGCATTAAGTATCATGGAAAACTCTGACAAAAAACTAATGTGAAGCTTCATGTTCACTAAAAGGGAATTCAATACGGAGTAGTTTTCCAGGGTTCATGCTACATTTTCATTTCAAATCACAGAATCCCAGGACTTTTCAAGTACTTTTTAAAGCAATTTTAAAGATGTTTCTGACAGGAATTTTTAGAAATACCAAACGTGTCAATTTCTTAAGATTCAAGATGTTTTCCTGGAGTTAGGTATCCAAGACCAAAATGCATTTTTTTTGTTCTCTTGCATTGAAGAGAAGTTTTCATGGTAGTGTGAGAGTGACTTACCTGCTCTTTTCAGTCAAGAACTTAAATAGAAGTTTAGAATTGCCATTTTGTAAAGTGGATTTTTATTGCATTTTATGRCAGTAATGCATTTTGATCTTTGGCCTGCAGAATTCAGCTTGCTAATGCAAGGCAATAGAGAATTAAGCATTGATTATGGTACCCAATACGAAACAAAGTTTTAATTACTTTCACAAAATAGAGCTGTTTTGATGTACTTGTGAAGTGTTTATTACACCATCAATTCTGGCTTCGCGTAAAAAGTAAAATAGATGCAAAAGAAAATAATGCAATTATTAAAATGTAATAGAGTATCTATTTCACAGGTTTTTTGACTTTACTCTAGTAGCCATGAAGTCAATTTTCTTTTGTGGGCTATTACACATTTACTATTGAAACTTGTTTCACAGGTTCATGGAAAGGACTCCATGTATTTAAAGCTATTCTTTGCACTTTTGTGGCCACTTTCTATTGTTTTATTTCAAAAAATTACATGTGACACTATGTTTCGTATAAACAGCCCGATAGAAGTTGCCACAAGAGTGAAGTCATTTCACCTGTGCAATAGATATAATGCTTTAATTGCATTGTATTTTGTGCCTTTCTGTCTATCACACTTTAGTATAAACATACTAATGGTCTATCACTCATACTGCGCTGTGATTGGCTACTCTACTAATGGTCTAATTTGTGATAGAGTACTCGCGGGAAAATCAAAATAAATAAGTTATAAATTATTTTAAGGATATTTCAATTTGTTTTCATTATTTGACCGATTAGTATGTTTATACTAAAACAATTAGACCTCTCGGCCTCGTGGACTACGAGCTAATAGCCCATTCGGCCTCGCGGACTCGGCCTCATGGGCTATTAGCTCGTAGTCCACTCGACCTCGAGGTCTAATTGTTAATTATACACAATTTTGTTTCAAGGGCATAATGATTTCACTATATTGCAATACAAGTATTTTGGGGGTCTTTAGTGATATTGAATTTTGTGAACAAAAAGAAAACAAAACACATCATTCAAGATATTGTTTGAAATTTTATTTTRCAAGATTTGATGTTTAGAATCTAAGTTTCTGGAAAAACCATTTGTTCTTGCCAGACTTGTATCTGAAAATAAAGCAGAATAACATTTGAGAAAATTTCTATCAGCAATATTTACAACAAGAGAACTGAAATTCAAAGCTCAATGCTTTTTTTCTTCAGCCAACGTGTATTTCCAWGCTYYTAGACTTAATTGTTTAAACTACAGARCATGCTTCACTAAAAAGGTTTGTGAAAATYGGGTAAGTTCCAGTGAAAAGCCATAGAGATTTTTTCAGATCTACTTATTTTCCACTAAAACATAGATATGTACTACGCTATCTCAATGAATTTTAATCGCACCTCCTAGATTTATGGATCTTCTAATTAAAGGTGGAAAAGAAACATGCTCATAAGGAGAAGGCATTG